CATTGCACCTAGCTTATCAACAGATTATTTTTAATGAGCTTATCAACGGATTATTCAATAAGTTGCAGTTGCCCCAATAGTTTGGTTTGAAGGAATTGCAAGAATAAAAAAAGGGATAGAGGGTGCTTGATTTGTAAATAACAATGTTTCTGGTGCTTTGTTTGTAATTGCCCCTACAAAAAGGAATTACAAGAAAGAAAAGGATAATTAAACTGATATAAGGAACGAACAGAAACTTCTTTGTCATGGAGCAGTTCAAATGGCAGTTGGGAACCACTGTAGGCTACTGCTGATGCATTGGATGCTTTTCATATTCTGCAGATTTGTTTTATCTTTATTTTTCTATTAATGATTTTTTGATGAGGCTATGATGGCATACCTCGGCTGATGTGGCAAGGAGATCTTGGAAGGTCTGCGTGCAGACAACCAATTTCCATGCCTTCATGCTTTGCTTCCATTGTCTCTTGTAGACTTGAGTGGTTTAATATGTACAATTAGGGCTGTCAAAAAAGCTCGTTGTTCGCGAACAGTTTGTGTTTGGTTCATCAATGAGTTCGTGTTCGATTTGTTCGATAAGTAAATGAGACGAACGTGAACAAATTTTTTTCGTTCGGTTAGTTAAACAAATCAAACACGAATAGTGATGCGTTCGTTCGTGTTCGAATCATTATTTTTCGAAATATAAAATAATTTAAAATAATTATATATAAAAAAATTATGCTGTTTTAAAAATTAAATTTTATAAATTATAATATATAATAAATCAATAATAATATATTAGTAATATACTAATATAGATATTATATATTTATATAATATAAGTTATATAATTAATATAATATATTATTTATATATATTAATATTAGGGACGTCAAACTGGCTCGTCGTTCGCGAACAGCTCGTGTTCGGCTCGTTCGTTAAGAAACGAACACGAACAGTGACTTCACAAACAATTTAGAACACGAGCTTATTTCAAACAAACCGAACACGATCACAAGCTATGTTCGTTCGTGTTCGGTTCGTTTACATCCCATGTACAATAAAATTAAAGCGCAGAAAATGCACCTAATAGATTGGTGCATAAAATTAATGTTGATGGATTGAGAAGTAAAAGAGGCAATATGAAGAAAAATAGCTCAAAATGGCTTGTGAAGAGGGCGAAAATTTTTTGTCCGGACTCCAATTGTAGAGCAAGGTTCATTGTTCAATGAAATAAAGTCATGTGTATTTGTGGGTCCCACGCAGTAAAACATAAAATAAAAAAAAAATTAAGATCCGTATCCTAAGGAAAATAATTTTGTTTCTACCGAGCTCATATAAGAAGCTGAGGGTTCTAGTAAACCAAAACCATTATTTTTTAGCTATTTTGGCTTCAATCTCCCCTTTTTAATTCAATATGGAGAAAATAATTTTGTTTTCTCTAATTCATAATCGAACATGAGATTTTGGTTTTATTCGGCTCCTTTATGGGAGATCTATGTGTTCCCACCAGAAAAAAAATGAGATCCATAACATCCATGTCAGTTTTTTTTACGAATGCATCTAAAGCTATTTGCTTTTTATATGATCCCTATAAAATAGGGGATTTTATCAAATTTTTCTAGTCTAGTTTGTTTCGTATTTCTTTTCTACTCGTGGGATCCTAAGGAAAATAATTTTGTTTCTGCCAAGGTCAAATAAGAAGCCGGGGGTTCTAGTAAATCAAAACCATCATTTTATAGCTATTTTGGCTTCAATCTCCCCTTTTTTGCGTGAAGAAAATGATTAGTTTCTCAGCTAACACTCTTTAATCATATATCCAAAGTGCAATGTTGTAATGGTGCATTTTCAACTTTTGATCCGACGTGATCAATTTACTATTGTAACCAAATGCGACTATGTTTTCTTTCCATGTCTTACTTTTGTTTTCTTGTAAAAAAATGGGCTATTCTGAGCATCTCGTCTTTTAATATCATTACAAAAATGGTTCTCATGCTATCTATTTGTCAAACATATGAAGCTACAGAGATTTTGAGTTAAACCTATTTATGTTTTTGCTGCATCGCAAAACCTTAGTTTATGGATGCTAATTTGGCAAAGCATTTTTTTTCTCTTTATATTTTTGATTTTACAACATTCAATGAAAGAGATGTTCATGAAGCTATTAGAGGCTTCATCCTGTTGCTGTGCCAAAATGAAATGCTGCAATGCTCTGCTTTTTGTTTTTAAATGCAGTAGTGTTTTTGGAAGGTTTTTTATATTTAGAGGCTAGGATATAGTCTTGCCGTTTCAAATCTGATATAAAAAATAGCTTCTGATCCTCATTTTGAGGGCTATAAAAGTGTTAAAAATGATTGTAAAAATGAAGATGTTCATTTTTCTTGCTACTGCTATATTATTTTATTTTATTTTAATTGAGTAAATATATGCACAAGAAATATTTCTTCATGCTTGAAGGTACATGACTAAAATAACCCCATTTAAATAGTGAGGGGAATATTTTGGCACTTTACTTCTTGAAGATTCATTACTATGGCTTTTGTTTGTAGATGCAAATAAACATTTTTTTTGGTTTTTGAAATTCACCTTTATAGTCTGCATGATATTTCTTTATAAAAAAATGCGTTTAGCTTTTCTATTTTATTGATTAATAGATCCAATTTACCCAAAGCTATCATATCTTGGTATCATTTTCTTATGATGGCATTTTTTGATAATTACTAATATTATTTTTGTTAAAATTTTATGATTTTTTCTGTTTTTTTAATGTTAAACCCCTTATGTTCTTATACATTTATTTTAGTGTGTGTATGTCATTTAGGAGCATGCCTCTGCTGAAACATTAATCCTTCACTATGAAGTTAAAAGCTTCCCATGAACTATGGAATGATTTCTAAATGCCTTTTTGAATTAAAAGCTTGAAATATAATCTGCTGCATTCATTGGTTTAGTAGATTCTGCTTCTTTTGTTTACTGTGAGGTATATGTTATTACTCATGATTGTTCTTGCATGCGTAGAATAAGCGTATAGCAGGCAATGCCATTAATATTAAATGACACTTGTTCAATAGGAAATTTCAGCCTCATTATTATTATTTTCTTTTTAATCAGTAAAAGTTTTCTTTTATTGGTTTCATTTGCATTTCTAATATCAGTATGTCATAATGATTAATATGTTTCTCTGTTTGTTGTTAAGGCATGTGAACAGCCTACAAAAATGTCAAAACTCCATTTAAATCAGGACAAGCTGCAAATGGTGTCTTATCTTCTAGGATGTCAAATAACATCCGAGGATTAAATTCATGTATGTCAATATACCTGCAAAAGATAGTTGCATCAAAATTTTCCGCATACTTAACACCTAAGTATTCATATTGACATACCTAGCACTCCATTTTTTAACACCACATAAAAATATTACTATTTTTAACTTTTAAAAGTGAAATAAACCTTTTCATGCATAGGTTTATGACACCCAAGTGTAATAAATATAAAAGTTAAATTTTAGGTGTTAGACATGTAAATGCATAAGAATTATGTGATATTTATGTCAATTTTTCTTTTTGTTTATTCTTCAAGCATTGACTAATTGCGTCTAGATAACATGCTTTGAAACCTATTGAGTTGAGTGAAGCTAAACTCATAATTCGGTCTTTGCCCAATGTTGGAGCCCATCCATGAAATTGAAGAGAGCGTCCTTGTCTGACATATCGAGGATTTTAAGAATCAAGCTTGTAAACTCTTTAATGTAGTCTTAAATCAAACCCTCTTGCTTAAGCCTTTGCAGACGGGCTCGAGCCTTATCCACAACATTCTCGGGATAGAACTGTCTTTTTAGCTCTCTTTTGAAGTCATTAAAAGTGGTCATGGAACACAAATCTTTGTCTACATCTCCTTTTCTTCTTCTCCACCAAAGCATAGCGATGTCCGAGAGATAAAGAGAGGCAAATTGTATTTTTACATCTTCATCGGCAATTCCCATACCACCAAAGTATTGTTCTAGTCCCCATAAGAAGTTGTCTACTTCGCATTGCGAATCCCTCCAAAACTCATAAGTTTTGGAACTTTAATTCTCTTGGCTTCGAAAGTGGGATGGCTTGTGGATGCCGCTAGTGCCCTCTTACACAACGAAAGTATTGTTCTAGTCCCCATAAGAAGTTGTCTACTTCCTTCGCATTGTGAATCCCTCCAAAACTCGTAAGTTTTGGAACTTCAATTCTCTTGGCTTCTAAAGTGGGATGGCTTGTGGATGCCGCTAGTGCTCTCTTACACAACGAAATATTTTCACGCATCTTTTCCAAGCTAGCGCACACGTCGCTCATCTCCTCCTCATAAACTCTTCGCACCTCTTGGAGCTTCCTCAACAAATGCTCCTGCAACTTAGTCATATGGCTTATTAAGCTCTCCTCAAGTTGGAGCATCATTCCTCTGATTGTTGAATAGATGGTAACGTCTCCTCCTCGAGTCCATCAACTCTTTGGCCAAGATCCTCTAGCTAGCCCTCCGTGCCATTCATTTCCTCCTCCACCCGAGCAAGACGTGAAATAAAGCCATACATGATCTCCTTGGACCTCCCATGTTGCTTGGGTGCAATGGGATCTCTTTGCTCATGACGACCTCGCCCTGTTTGAGATGTTTCCACATTTGTGGCTTCGGACTCCATTACGTGCTCTTTAGCCCTATTTTCAATACATTCGGACTCCATTACGCCTTCTGTTGACCTCTAGAATTGGGTAGAAGTTTCTAGAGTTGTGTGGAACTTTCCCATCCACCTTCTTGGCTTTAGAAGGTTCTTGTCATGCATGCCTCTTCTAGAGTTTTCGTTTCCATATTTATCTTGCCATTTCCTTGAAAATGGCGGGGCGTGACACGTTGCTCTAAATAATCCCCATGAATAAACCTCATTGGAGCTTACACTATGTCGGCGCTTAAAAGGGGGGAAAAGAGAGTTTTGGATGTTTGGGGGTCGCCCGTAAGAAGCTGTCGGTCGCCGGAATCGAAATCCCGTTGCCCGCTTCGGAAGGACTTTTTAATTTACATATATATATATATATATAATTTTAGAAAAATATGAAATCAAACTGACCTCAT